CTCAGTCTTCTGAACTGTAAGATCAGAAGGAGTTAGGGTAAGAATTACATAAGTCTTGTGTGTGGGATCAGCGCCCTTTCTATGACCTGCAAACCCAGTTTCTGGCTTCAGAGGATGGGGAGAGGGGATGAGTCTGAGGGACAGTGGGGGCTCTGTGGTAGTGGTGAGCAGCTTGGATTCAGGTCCTGTGTGACACAGACTTTCTCTGAAACTCCATTTCCGTCCCCATAAAATGGGGACAGCCCTCCCATCTCCTTTGACACACATAAGATGCTAAACGGGTCATCTGGGTTCCTCTCCTCCACAAAGCCCCAGCCTCTAGAAGATTTTACTGGGCTTCAATAGATGAACTCAACTTTCCTGGATTGGAGAAGAGAGCGGTGGCGCACACCTATAATCCCAGGGGCTCAGGAGGCTGAGGCAGGAGGATCACAAGCTCAAGGCAGCCTCAGCAACTTAGTAGACTCCGTCTCAAAATAAAAAATTTGAAAAGGACTGGGGATGTGTCTCAGTGGTTAAGCACCTCTGGGTTCAATCCCAAGTACAACAATAAGAAAAAGGGAGAGGGAAAGAGAGAGAGAGAAAAGAGAGAGAGAGACAGAGCCAGGAGGGAATTTCAAGGGTTGAGGCCCCGAGGTGGGAAAGAACAGAGGCTCCATGGTCAACAGTTCCTGAGAGGGCAAGACGTGAGGCTCAGCTCAGCATGGTGGTGCACGCCGGCCATCCCAGCTAGCCATTCACACTTTAGTAAGAGTTGCTTGGCCCACATAAGTGGCTGCAGAGGATGGACAGAGCTGGGAGTCACAGTTGATCTTGTGCCTCTTCCGACTCACTATGTGACCTGGGCCCGTCATTCCTGGGCCTCCCAGGACCTCCATTTCTGCAACCAGAAAACAGGGTGAAAGTGACCTTCGCCTCCACCCAGGGTGTTATCGGAGGCCAGGTTGGTCCTGAAAGGACATGGGGGCCAGGCGAGTGTCCCCCACAGGGTGCCGTGGGAAGTCCATGCCTTCGAGTCCCTTCCCAAGACCACTTCTGCTTTTGAACCATATTTGCAACTGCTTTGCATATTTTCTCCTTTCTCATCAACAGCCCTGAGTTCCCTTCCTGCCGGGCTGCCTGGAATCTCCCAGTTCCTCAAGCCATATGTGTGTGTGTATATATATATATATATATATATATATGTATGTTTGGGGGGTTTTGGGCAGTGTTGGCAATGGAACCCGGGGCCTCACATATGCTAGGCAAATACTCTGCCACTGAGCCACATCCCCAGTCTTCTTTATTTTATTTTGAGACAAGGTCTTGCTAAGTTGCCCAGGCTGGCCTTGAACTTATGATCCTCCTATCTCAGCCTCCCAAGTAGCTGGAACAAGAGGTGTGTGCTGCTATCCCTGGCTCAAGGTAGCCTTTTTATCAAGAGGAGGTGTTAGGATCTTCTGGACAGAGTTCTCCCCGGGGTCTCACCATAACTGGACATTCTAGGCAGCTTATCCACTCCTTGACTCCTTCCATGGATGCCAAAACTCAGACTCAGAATTTTTGTTTTTTTTAATATGTACCGGGGATTGAACCCAGAGCCACTTAACCACTGAGCCACATCCCAAGCCACCCCCCTCCTTTTTTTTCCCCCTAATTTTGAGACAGGGTCTTGCTAAGTTGCTGAGGCCGGCCTTGAACTCACGATCCTCCTGCCTCAGCCTCCCAAGCCATTGGGATGACAGCCTGCGCCACTGTGCCTGGTCAGAAATTTATTTTTAGGTGGGAGCCTCAGTCCCCTGTTGCTTCAGGGGACCTCGGCAAGACAAACATCCCATTTATAGGAGCTGAGGCAGGCTCCAGCCGCCCTGCAGGGCTTCCGATTTTTTCAAGAGGAAACTGAAATTTACAATTTTTATGTGAAAAAGGGGAGCTACCTCGACTTTAGGGAAGGAAGAAATAAAACAACCACCTCCCCCAAAACCCCCACCGCGGGTGCAGGTCCGGGAGGCGAGGTTCGGAGGCTGAACCCGCGGGTCCCTGAGTCAGCGGCTCCTCCCTCCCAGAGGAAGACGCCCGCGCCCTCGGCCTGCTGTCCCCCTCTGCGCCCTTTAGTGCCACTCAGCCAACGCGACCTCAGTCGGGCAGATGTGCCTCCCCTCTCCTCCCCCAGCTCACCGCCGTGTGTCTGTCCCCAGGGCTCAGGCTGCAGAGGAAGGCGACTTCTATGTAAACTTCGAGGGCGGCCACGGCGACTCGCATCCCGTGTACTGCAACCTGCTGTCCCTGCGCCGCGCCACGCAGGCCGGGGAGGAGCGCGGGACCCCAAGGCGCTGAGCCGGTGGCGGAGCCTTGGTCCTCCAGGCCCTGCTGGGGCCCCGGGCACCGCCAGCTGGTCCTCTGGCCTCAGTCTCCCCATGTGACCAATGGGGGCAGAGAAGGTCCATCCTGGAGAAGGGCCATCCTTTGACAACACCATGTCATCCCCCTCTCGATGTCGCCGAGGTGCTCAATAAATGCTTTGGGACACATACGCTGCTGGCTCAGGGCCCGGGGATTCCTCCTGGGGGCATTTCCCATGCTCCCCAGACCACGGCTCCATCTGAGATACCCAGGCTCCCCCACCCCCAGCCCTGCCCTGTGCCCTGCCTTCGCCCCCTTCCCAGGTGTCCAGGCTGGGCCCTGACCCTGAAGTGGCACCCCCCCTCCTTTCTCCCCAGAAAAGTCTTCACTGGGCTTCTCCAGAAATCTTCACCATGGCTGATTTGGGGACTGTCAGCAAAAAAGTCTCTGCAAAAGAGTTCAACATAGAGAAACTTCCTGTTTTACTTGGCCACTGGCCGGGAAGATACCAGCACTCCAGGTGCTGGACACCCCCTTACTAGTTTCCACAAACTTGTATCCAGTACAGTACTTTGTAGAAACGTGCAAACAAGGCCTCTGGCCCTGAGCTGGGCTTCACAGAGAGGTCTACATAAGGTACCAACTGGGCTCCCTGGTAACAGCTGGCAGGGGGAGGAGAGAGAGGGGACAAGAAGCTCTCCCTTCTTAGGTGTTGTCCTTGAAGGGTTAACTTGTCCAGAACAGCGACAGAAAAAGCTGCTTTTCTGTGAACTTCTGCAGACTGTGAACTTCCGAGCCCCTCCCCTTACATGCTGGGTATAAAACTCTGAAACTCCCTGAACTTGGGGTTCAGGGGATTGATTGATTACAGCAAAAGCTGTGCCCTCTGAGCCTGGCTGCAGCCAAATACAAATGTTTCCTGCTGTCCTCGGTGCCCTGCCTCATCTGTCCCTACAATAACCCCACAGGAGTGAACACTGGCTCCAGAAGCTTCCCTCCTTCCCTCCTTCCTTCCTTCCTTCCTTCCTTCCTTTTCTCTCTCTCTCTCTCTTTCTCTTTCTTTCTCCTGTCATCCCAGTGCCTTGGGTACTGGGGACGGACCCCAGGCACACTTTACCACTGAGCCACGTCCCCAGCCCCTTTTCTTTCTTCTTTTGAGACGGGGTCTTGCTGAGTTTCTTGGAGCTTCACTAAGTTGCTGAGGCTGACTTTGAACTTGTGATGCTCCTGCCCCAGCCTCCTGGGTCACTGGGATTACAAGGCATGTGCCCAGCTCCCAGTCATTTCATTTTTTAAAATTTTTTAATGAGACAGGGCCTCACCAAGTTGCTGAGGCTGGCCTGAATCGTGATCCTCCTGCCTCAGCCTCCTGGGAGCTGAGATTGTAGGTATGTGCCAGGAAGCCCCACCTCGCCTGACCCTCTTAACCCACTTTCCTTCCCTCACTAGTGAACTACCAGGGTTGAATCTCCACACATTTCCTTTACAGTGCCCACTTTCTTAGGATTTTTGGTGTGGTGCTGGGATGGCACCCAGGGCCTTGTCCAGGCCTGGGGAGCTTCACCACTGACGTGCACCCAGCCCCCCAGGATTCCCTCCAGACTCCTGCATCTCCCCCACTCCATCAGATCATCAATTGTCTGTGTGGTTACTGCTGCATCCTCATGCCCAGCCAGAACCTGGCACAAAGTTGGCACTTGCTGAATACATGCAGGGACACCTACTGTCATTCAGGTTGGCTTCCATGGCAGTGGCATTCCCAGGGACACAGCTCATTGCTGGAGATCCTCTATCCCTCCAGAGCCCCCTCCAGCATCCCCTCCACGGCCCAGAGGGGGACAGGCTGGTAGGTGGGGTGCTGCCTTCAGCACACCTCAGCAAGGCCAAGAAGATGCTTATGGAACCTTCTTCAGTGGGAAAATTATGTAACCTGGGAGATGTGATGTGCATGAAAGTGTTCTTTATTTCTCCCTGCTCTTTTTATATGAAAGAGCGGAGGTATCATTAACATGGAAGGAAATGCCACAAACAGGAGGGGTGGTGGGTCTCTTCAGGGAGGGGCGGTGGTATAAAATGATGAACTCCACAGCAGATGGGCCTGGCTCTGGGCTGCCTGTGATTGGAAAGGTGACTCCACGCTGGGACAGAGACAGAGAGCCACCTCTGTCCCCCAGAGAACAGTACTGAGAGATGAGGAAAGACAGAGGCAGACCGAGACCTCAAAGGGTCCCAGAAACAGAAGAAAATATAGAGATAGAGAATCCCCAGAGAAGTCAGGGAGACCTCCCTGGCCATGAACGCCTCTGGTGGCTGGTGTTTGAAGGACATCCTGCCACCCACGCTCCAAACCCTTCCACTCCCTCCTCCCAGCTCCCCTGGGGAAACTGAGGCCAGGAGTTGCGAATCTTTCCGAGGTCACCCAGCCCCATCCTGGACAAGAATCAGTTCAGACAGCTCCATTTTTATTACATATCCAGAGTTTTAAATAAATACACCTTCCACCAGGCGTCTCCCAGGCAGAGACTCCAATAAGTTAATAATAAATACAGTCATAAATACAGCGGGAGGGAGGCAGCGGGAGTGAGTTGACGGTCAAGACCTGCGGGCCCCCTCCACAGGCGGGACCACTGAGGCCACTTCCATTGCGCAGGCGCTGGACTAAGTGAGGCCGGGGCTGCTCATGCGCAGTGGCAGGCTTTGGCCTGGAGGTCGTCGTAGGTCCTGAGCGAGACGCCGCGGTCGGTCTTGTGCATGAGGACTACGAGGTCGTAGCTGGAGGGCACACAGCACGGGGCGGGCACCGCGTCCGGCCTCAGGCCGTGCAGACGCGCTTTGATCTGCGCATGCGTGTTGGCCGCTTGGTAGTGGCTGGGGCACTCGCCGACGCACACGCTCACCTGCAGCTCACGCGGCGACAGCACCCAATCAGTCCAGCCCAAGTCCTCCAGCGTCGCTCGGACTGTCTGCAGGCGACAGCAACGCCCGGGCCCGAGCGGGCAGCCGTCTGAGCCTCGTGCACGCGCGCTGCGGGGCCCCCTGGCGGCTCGTGCCCGCAAATGCAGTTCCAGCTGAGGTCCGGCGGAGGGCGACAGTGCCAGTGGCAGGTCCGCAGGCGGCGACAGTCGCAAATGTAGCGTGGGTGCCCGGGATCCTCTGAGGCTGAGCTGACGCTTCAGCGGCCGCGTCACGTCCCACGACTTCGTCTGTGTCGGGGACAGCCGCAGCAGGGCCCGGTGCACGCGGTAGGCCTCCGGGAGACCCTCTGTCAGCGAGGCCCGGGAGAGGCGCAGGTGCAGGTGGCCGTCGGAGCCGAGTCGCACTGGGAAGAAAAGAGATCAGAGAGTTGGTCACCCTACTGTGCGCGAGGAAAAGGGGTTACCATCCTGCCAACACACCAAGCAGGACCCCACCACAGGGCCTTTGCACAGCTTCTTCCCGGGAATCTCAGCGTGGCTGTGCCCCATCCCTTTAGGCCACCTAAATAACAACCATCTTGTTTTATTTCGTGGTAAGTACTTCATCTTCCCTAGAATCTCAGTCCCTCTTGGCTTGGTTGCCACCGTGCCGGGCACACAGTGTACACAGTAAACACTTGAAGGAATGAATGTATATCCAATAATCGGTGAATCTGAGATTCGAATCTTGGCCTACTTCCTTCTCATTAAAGAAGAAAAAAAATCATTTATTTATTTATTTATTGGGGTTGGGTGTTACTGTGTCGCCCAGGCTAGCCTTGACCTCCTGGGCTCAAGTGATCCTCCTGCCTCAGCCTCCCAAGGAGCTAGGACTACAGGCACAGACCACTGAGCTAAGCTCAAAAATACCTCACAGGAGGTCTGACCTGATTCTACAAACCAAGGAGTGAGGAGCACCAAGCCCCCCACATTCCAGATGACTTGGTCTGGAAAACACAGTCCCCCAGGGTGGTGCAAGTGTGGAGGGTCTGCGGAGACCCGTCTGAAAGCCTGCAACCCAGCTCTAGGCTCAGCGAGGGCTAGAGATTTACCAGGAGTCACACAGCAGGGCAAGGATTGGGGGCGTGTGGGGAAGTGCCCTTCTCTGCCAGACCCCTGCTTCCACCCCTCCTGGGTCCCAGCGGCGCCCCCTGGAGCCTCTGTGGAGGGTGCGCAGAGGGAGAACCTCCCTCCCCTGTTGGGGCGCCTGCCCCGCGACTCCAACATCTTGATGAGGGATTGCGTCAGATTCCGATCCGGCTCCTGCAGGTTCTGCTCGTCGCTGGCCGCCCCGCTGCTCCCTCATCCCTCCTCCTGGACCTCTGGGCAGGGACAGGACCAGCCTCCCCACCGGGTCCCCGAGCTACCCAGGCCCTGTGCGCACTCGGGGGACCCCTGGCATCTCTGAGCCTGGCTTTGCACATCTGCGCCCCCTGACTGAGGTCCCACCCGGGGCGAGCCTGGCCCCGGCCCGTTGCAAACAGGTGGCGGCCACCTTCCCCGTCGGACTCCGGAGGGGACAGAGAGTTCCCACCCACCCATTTCAGAGGCGGGAAAACTGGCGCCTCGAGGCGGGGCCTGGGCCCGTGGGACAGTCAGACACGGGGGAGCCCCGGGGTCGCCAGGGCCACTCACGTTCTGGGCTGAGGATTCGCACGGCGGGGGCGGGGCCGGGCGCGGCGTCGCGCGAGCTCTGCTGTCCCCGGAGCCTGGCCCGCAGGTCCTCGTAGCGCATCCTCAACTCCCGGGACCAGGGATCGGGCTCGGCCTCGGGGTGGGTGTCCGATGGCCCCGGGAGGCCGGGTCGGCGCTGCTCGGCCAGGGACACCGCGTCGCCCGACGGCGGCCACGAGATCACCAGGAGCAGCAGCAGCAGCAGCAGCATCTGCGGTCGGGGCGGAGGCGCGGGTCCCCGCCGGGGCCGCCGGGGCCGCGCTGTCGGTGAGGCTCGGGCTCCAGGCCGGGGCATGGCCGGCTGCTAGCTGCGCTCCAAGACTTGACAGCGACGTTGAACAGCGGCCTTTATAGTCCCGGACTTTGTCCGCCCCGCCTGCCGCCCCGCCTGCCCCTGTGCGGACACTGCGGTGGCCTCCGCTGGGCGGGGAGTCCCCGGGCCTCCGGGAGGTGCTGGGGGACAGAGTCTCCGGGACAAGCCCGGGCTCCTCCCGGAGCAGGGACAGGATCCCAGCCGGGGGTTGTTGGAACATGATTTTGTGCAAAGACAAGGACTGTGGGAAATTGCAGGCAGGAGCCAAGAGGTGGCCTTCCCCCAGGGGGACCCCCGCGCGCCCCTCTCCGTGGGATCAAAGACTGAAGAGGGTGAAAAACAAAGGAAGCCGAGGGGCAAGGTCAAAGCTGGGAAGGGCAAGTTCAGGCTTCACTGTCCCCACCAGGAAAACGGCCTTTCTCTGAGGAGGTGGCCAGATGAGGTGTCAAGGACAGCTAGGGACCTAGTCAGTGCACAATAAACTGCTATTCCCGTGACTCAGCCTCCTCTGGAGAACTCCTACTCCCTCTTCAAAACCCTGTTCCAGAAACCCCTCCTCCAGGGACCTGCCTCTGACCTGCCCTTGGCCACTCAGCGGTGCTGATCCGCCTGCTCCCCTCCTCCCCTGTCCCTAGCGCTGTCTGCTTTGGGGACAGGAGTGCATCTTCTCTCCAGTGCTGCAGTCTCCTGGTTGGTCCCAAAACAGAGGCAGCAGGAAACTGGAGTCCTAAGGTGTGAGGGTCCGGGGCTGGTGTCAGTCAGGCCCAGTCACTGGACATGGAGGGCCGGGATGCCCAGGAGCTCCCTGCCCCCTGCTCAGGACTCCTGGCCCCAGACACCACCCCTGTGGCTGCTTCCAGCTTCCCAGGCACAGAAAGGCTGGGCCTGTGCCCGCGTGTACCCACTGCCCACCTCTCGCTGCGTGTGCCCAGACAAGCCTCCAGCCCCACCCTGGAGGTCGAAGGTCAGCAACAGCCTCTGTCCCATGGAGTCACCACTGTGCTGTGGCGGGGGAGAGGTCCCCCGTGAGACACTCTGGGCATATAAGAGGTGCTCAGGAAACGTGCCTCTCAGTTCCATCCTGACTGCTTGGTTGGGAGGAGGAGCCTCTGGCCTTGCCCCCCACCCACGTGGTACATACAGTAGGCGCTCAATGAAGGGTGCCACAGGGATGAGGCTGAAAGCTGGCAGGCTACGAGGTCACTCCCCCACACGTGGCCTGTCAGGAGAGATGAGTAATCCTGATGCATGTGGCCTTGAGCAGGTCAGGAGGGTCACCGAGACCCAGGCCTGTTCTGGGGTGGCATTGGGGCAAAGGAGACACTGCCCAAGTTGGCAGCTTTTCAAGTTCAATAGCGGAGATGGGATGGCCGTGGTCATCGGACTCCCAGCTGGGCCGCGTCCAGACACCCTCTTGTTCCACAGAGAGATGCAGGAGAGGACAACACAGGGATGGAGACTGTGGAGAGGATCAAACGAAACGCAGAGGACACCAGGTGCATAATAAGTGCTCAATAACCGGGCGTTACTACAGCTACTCAGCCGCGCGGGAGAACTCCTACTCCTTCTTCAAAACCCTGATCCAACCCCCTCCTGCAGGGAGCAGCCCCCACCCTACCTTCGCCAGCTGAGCAGTGCTCATCCTCTGCCAGGGCTGACCTCCCACCTGGGACTCCGTCCCTGGCTCCTGCTCCCCGGTACTGGGGCCCCTTGAGGGCAGGAATGCATCTTCTCTGTGCTCCAATCTCTTGGCCGGGCCCAGAATGGAGGTGGCAGGGAATTGAGGAGCTGGGGTGTCACAGCGGGGAGGGCTGGTGTCAGTCAGGTCCAGCCATCAGATGTGGAGGCCAGGGGTGCCAAGGAGCACCTCCCCCACCTTCTTTCCATGCTCAGGGCTCCTGGCCCCCCACACTGCCCAGGGCCTCTTCCAGCTGTGTGTGGGCCGCCGTGCCAGGCCATGACGAGGAGTGTGTCTGGGGGTGACAGGTGTGAGCTGCCAAGCAGCTCCGGGGCTCCCTGAGTCCCCAGGACTCCCAGGGCCTGCAGGCCTCCCCTCCCCAGCACACACCTCTTGCCGAGTGGGCTCCTGCCTGGCACCCAAGGCGGGCACCAGCCTGTCCTGTGGGGTTACCCCTGGACCATGGCAGGGTTCTAGATGTCCCCCATGTGATGCTCTGAGTACATAGTAGGTGCTCAGTAAATGCACCTGCTCACACCCGTCCATTCTATCCAGTCTGTGGCCGAGTGGAGAGTGGGTCAGGTGAATCTTGTTTTTCAAACAAAGGCTCCTGGGGGTAAGGGGCCCAAGCCCAGGACAGGCCAGGGGTCATGGAGTCCGTCAGACTGCCTGGGTCCCCAGAGCACAGAAGGGAGAGGGCTGGGTTGGGGTTCTCGAGGCAGTTTCCTGTCACCCCAGGGCTGCCCTAGAAGGCTATTTCTCTCTGCCTCCCAATTATGAAGCACCATGAAAAATCAACTCAACATCCACCACTTTAAAGTTTACCACTCACTGGGTGTGGTGAGGACCTCAGGAGGCTGAGGCAGGAGGATCGCAGAGTTTGAGGCCAGATTTTTCATGTGCTGGGGATTAAACCCAGGGACCCGTCTACCACAGAGCCAAGTCCCCAGCCCTTTCTATTGTTTTAGTTTGAGACAGGGTCTTGCTAAGTAGCCAGGCTGGCCTCAAACTTGTGACCCTCCTACCTCAGCCTCCCGAGTGGTCAAATAAAATTTTCACAAGGACAGAGGGGTGGCTCAGTGGTAGAGCATTTGCCTGGCATGTGCCAGGCCCCGGCCGGGTTCAGTTCCCAGAACCACAGAGTGATAAACAAATAATAAATAAATACATAAAATGTCTGAGGCAGGCTGGGGCTGGGGCTCAGTGGTGGAGCGCTTGCCCGGCACGTGTGAGGCACTGGGTCTGACTCTCAGCACCACATATGAATAAATAAAATAAAGGTCCATCAACAACTAAAAAGTATTTTTAAAATGTCTGATGCAGTGGCCTTTAGCACATTCATCGTGTAGTATAAGCATTGCCTTAAATCTTCCAGAACATTCCATCACCAGCCCCTGGAGCTGCTGGCCTATTTTCTGTCCCTGTGGAGCCGCGGGTTCTGGACCGTTCATGTCAAGGAGGTGGCCCACTGGTGGCCTTTGCCTCTGGCCTTTGCGCTGAGCGTCGTGGTTTGGGGCTCTAGTTGTGGCAGGTGTGGGCGCTGCGGCCCGGGCACCACGCCTGGATGGCGCACTCACCCTGGGCGGACATTAGGCTCTTGCATTCACCTTGTGGCTCTGGGCCGCTGCGAGTGCGTGAGCACCAAGATTCATGCCCCTGTGTTGGGTTCCTTTGGGTTTGTGTCCAGAGGTAGAATTGCTGAGTCTCGTGATGATGATGCTTAAGGTGTTTTTGGAGGCTGCTGGGCAGGGACCCCGGGGTCTCCCAAGGCTAAGCGCATGCTCTTCCCCGGGCTCCGTCCCAGCCCACACCTGGAGAGTGTCCGCACCTCCACCTGCTTTAAAAGTTTCATCAACATGAGTTACCTAAGCGGGGCGCAGAGGCTCAAGCCTGTCATCCCAGCATCTCGGGAGGCTGAGGCAGGAGGATCCTGAGTTCAAAGCCAGCCTCAGCAACAGTGAGGCGCTAAGCAACTCAGTGAGACCCTGTCTTTAAATAAAATGCAAAATAGGGCTGGGATGTGGCTCAAGCGGTAGCGCGCTCGGCTGGCATGCGTGCGGCCCGGGTTCGGTCCTCAGCACCACATACAAACAGAGATGTTGTGTCTGCCGAAAACTAAAAAAATAAATGTTAAAATTCTCTCTCTCTCTCTCTCTCTTTAAAAATAAATAAATAAATAAAATGCAAAATAGGGCTGGGATGTGGCTCAGTGGTCGAGGGCCCCTGAGTTCCATCCCCAGAAATCCCCCCTTCAAAAAAAGATGAGTTACATAAAACCAAAAGGATCAATCTGAGGTGTTTAGTTCAATGACATTTTTATAAATGGTGTCTCCATGAGACTTCTCGGGGATGAAGTTCCAGAACATTCTTCCTGGCCCCAGGGAACACCTCCCTAACATCACCCTCCCGACCTCTAGATAACATGGATGCCTTTGCCCATTTCCCACCGTGACCTGAACAGAAGCAGCTGCAATCTCCTCTCCCGTCTGGGGCCCTTCACTCAGCCCATGTTCATGAGCGATGGCGTTTTGGGGTCTCTCTGTTTGGGCTCATCCTTTTCCCTTGTTATGTAATATTCCACGGCACATGCCCAGAGTGGAGCTGCCAGGTCGGGAATGGGCGTCTGTCACTTTAAGAGTGGGGTTAGTAAATAGCTCACTTCATTCATGGAATTTCCCCAAGGGGCATAAAAGCCTTGAGTCCCCAGGAGAAGGGCCACCTGTCAGGTTTCCGCTTCACCAAGCTCCAGAGCGGTGGCTGGGCCGACTCCCCAAATTCTGTAAACGATGACCTCATTCGTGGCCATTCCCGTGTCCCAGCTGCACGGGGCGCGGGCAGCCAGCCAGGGGTGACCTCAGTCCTGGGGACCTTGACTTCCTCGGGAACAGCGGCCACTGTCCCCGGGGGTGCAGGAGGTGGAGGTCAACTGCGGGGCCGGGTCAGGTGGCTCCTCTGCCTGGTGGGCCCCCGGCCGCACAGGCTCTCGGTCACCGGTCCCCATGTCACATCGTTGCCAGGGAAACCACGAGCCTCCCGCTGAACGGGACGAGCCAGACTGTCTCCAAAGTCCAGCGAGTCCCAGGGGCACAGGGTGGACGGCTGTCCTGTCGCTCGCTATGACCTCCCTGGGGGTCGGCGTGTGCCTGGGTTCTGAGGAGTCCCCACCGCTGGCTCTGGGTGGCACCCTGGCTCAGCCTGCGTCGCCGGGCCCATCTGGGGA